CCCTCTCACAGTTACTGTTTTTGAGCCAGGTCTCACCTAATCTGTATTTATACTTTTGATTTTTCTTGCCTCATTGTAAAACTTTGCTTTTCTCCACATTAAAATTCATTAAACATTAACAAAAGTAAATCTTCTTAAGTTCGCAAATAAGACTAGGTCAGTTAGAAGTGGTCACTTGCTGAGTTATTCAAGTGGTACTAAACAGTAATACATGTCCTTGGTTTTTGAGCCAATGCATCAATACCATGCTCTAAAGCCTTCCTATGTTTCAAATGAAAAAGTGAAAGCAACTTGATTTCATCAGCAGGGGATGAAAAAAAGTAACTTCAAATTCATTTACAACAAGTTTTTCATATAACAGAGTCTTAGACATGAAAGACCCATTTTCAGCTTTCAGTATGCTAGTTTAAACTATCATGGATTCATTTATAAAGTATTTCTTTCAGGATCCCAGGGTCTATGTGACAATAGAAGGGTAGAGTTTTTACATGAGAAAGCAAAAGGAAAGGGGAAAGAAAAGAATTAGATCAGAAATAATGGTTGTCTCAGGCATATTTCAAAAAAATTATTTCCTTGTATTTTAAACATCAGCCACAAATTAAAAAAACATGTACAAAATGAGAAGATAACCGTAATGTTAATAATTTATTTTTGGCATCTGGCATAACTAATATTCTCTCATATTGGAAGTGCGTCAGAGTTTGAGCCTCTTGTAGATACAGCTCTAAATCTCAAAATACTGAATATCTTTCAATGACCAATGTTGTATATTTATTACTACAATACATACTGCATAACTACTAATATAATATATGCAGTAAGACAGGGTGAAGAGGGTGGATTTGATTTGATGGGGTAACTTTAAATTTAATCTATATATTGCCACACAACATTCTAAATGAATTTTACTCCAAGTGATTCCATGTATAATATTGCCAAATATTAGAAAACGTCAAAATCTGTTTACCATTTGTCAAGTATTTTTGGCAAGGAAGAGTTGCTGAAAAGGAAAAATGATTTTCAACTTGAAATCAGTTATATGAAAGTATTTCCAGCAATTTCCTTTGATAATTTCCATATTCCTATCGGAATCCAGATACTCATAGTCTGGCTAACAATATTATAAAATTAGAAGTTGCAATCTTGTGGGCATATTTGGAATTTCAAGTACCACAGATGACTTGTTGAAATCTTTTTAATAATCTTGTACAGTAAAGTTTAGCTTCAACATGCAAATGTTCTCCTTCAAACCCAGTTTACTGATTCAGTATTCCTGTCTTTAACTTCTAGGAATTTTTTAAGAGCCAAAACTGTAATTACAGTTACAATTTTCTTTAAAATCACCCTCTTCTAATTTTCTCCTTCCCTTCAAGCACAATCACATATTATGCTTTCCCAAGTTTCATCTGTAGAATTCCAACTATCCCATTGTTTTTTAGTTTCCAACCGTATTCTCCAATCTTCTACTCATCCTACTGGATTGCCCCAAGCTCTGCATTCTCTACTTCTTCCCAATATGTGGTTTCTCCATGGCACTCCTCTTATCTCACTACCGTCCACATGCATCGGCATCTTACCAATCAATGTCAATGGGCTCTACCTTTTCTTCTCTTGGTTTCTTTCTGATGGCTAAAAATACTTTAAAATTAGGCTTTGGTATTTAGCTGCCTACAATCTTGATGTCCTAAATGTACCTTTGGATCTACTTTAAATTGGCTGGACACCAATACTTCACACTGAAGTATCCTAACCCCTTCTAATTTTAAGATTCACATGTTGGAATTCAATCCCTTGTGAGATATTACTTGCAGCTTTTTACCTAAACATTTTTAGAAAATTTTAAAATATTTTATAATTTAAGAAGGTAAATATCTGCAGCAGGGTCCAATACAAGATGAACATATAGATTGTGCATGGGTTATAAGGAAAATGCCTTTAAAGTACACTAGAATAGTATATTTCTGCTATCTCTTTTGAATATCATATTTAATATTTACGCCAAATATTACAATATTTTTAAACTATTTATGGTAACACTCTTATAATGGGTCTGTACGTGCATATTAAGAAAATTTCTACATTTATTTAAATGAAGCCAACTTCCCTAAATTAACAGAAGATCAGAAACAAGAAATTAATGGTTTGATTACTAATGAGGAAATTGAGATGGTGATTAAAGAATTAAAATTAGGTAAAGCACCGGGTACGGATGGCCTGACATCTATCTATTATAAAACTTTGATACAAGAGATGGTTCAACCTTTAAGAGAACTTTTTAATAATATATTACAGGGCTCAGAGATTCCCCCGTCATGGGGTAGAGCCTTTATATCTTTAATTCCAAAAGAAGATCAAGACCTTACTTTACCAAAGAATTATAGACCTATATCTCTTTTAAATGTAGATTATAAGATTTTTGCGAAAATTTTAGCCAATAGGCTCATGAGGGTTTTGCATCATGTCATACACACAGACCAAACAGGTTTTATAACTGGAAGGTATATGAAGAATATGTCAGACAAATCATTAATTTATTAGAATATTTAGATAAAAATAATCAAGTTTCCACAGGATTGATATTTTTAGATGCTGAAAAAGCTTTTGATCAATTGAACTGGCAATTTATGTTAAGATTAATTGAGAAAATGAATTTTGGAGGAAAAAATTTACAAGCTCTTGGTGTTATTTATCAAAAACAAACGGCACAACTTATAGTTAATGGGGGTTTGTCAGAGGTTTTTACAATAGAAAAAGGGACTAGACAGGGATGTCCATTGTCACCACTGCTGTTTGTTTTAACTTTGGAAATATTGCTGATTAAAATTCAAGAATCACAGCAAATAAAAGGAATAGAAGTCAATAAAAAAGAATATAAATTAAGAGCCTTTGCAGATGACTTGGTGGTTACCTTATCACAACCTATTCATTCTGTAGTAGAGTTACTACAATTGATATATCAATATGGACGGGTTTCAGGTTTTAAAATTAACAATAATAAGACTAAAATACTACCCAAAAATATGACCAATCTTGATAAGCAGACTTTGGTTAACTTGACAGATTTCGAGGTCGTTGATAAGGTAAAATATTTGGGGGTTATTTTATCTGTCTCTAATGCAAAACTGTATAAAAACAATTATGAAAAGCTGTGGGTCAAGATACAAAGAGAGTTGAAAAATTGGGAGAAGTTGCAATTATCTCTTCTGGGAAGAATTGCGGCGATTAAAATGAATGTTCTGCCAAAGTTTCTTTTTTTATTTCAAATGATACCTATTTTAAAGAATGAGGTTAATTTAAATGAATGGCAGAAAGGCATCAACAAATTTATCTGGGCAGGGAAAAAACCAAGAGTAAAACTTAAAATTATACAAGATACTCGTGAGAGAGGTGGACTCAAGGTACCGAACTTGAAATTGTATTATGATGCTGTGGTTTTAACATTAATTAGTGATTGGATTAACTTAACAAATGTAGAAATACTCCTCTTGGAGGGTTGGGATTTACTTTTTGGATGGCATGCTTATTTAATTTTTAATAAAAAGGTTGACAGGGTTTTTAAATCTCATATTATAAGGATTTCTTTACTTCGGGTCTGGAGGAAATATTATAGAACTGATTCTAAAATTCCATTATGGGCCATACCATGGCAGGCGATAGAGGGGATAATGAGAGGAGTTAAGATGGATAGTGTTTCTTATGCACAATTACTTAGATGGGATGGTAAAAATTGGCAGTTAAAATCTTTGGAAGATTTAGCACAAGAAAATATTATATATTCATGGTTTCAGTATAGACAAATTGTGGATAGATGGAAGGTAGATTGTAATGTGGGTTTGCTTAGAGAAGATGAGAATTTTTTTAAACAAGTAAAAGATCAAAGACGAACTCACATTAAGAGAATTTATGGGGTGTTAGTAGAATTGGATTCAGAAGCAGAATTAGTTAAAGAATGTATGATTAAATGGACACAAAATTTTGGTGAACCAGTTTTATTAGATACTTGGGAAACTATTTGGGTGAGAAATGTTAAATTTACACAAGCCCAGAATTTAAGGGAGAATTTTTATAAAATGTTTTATAGATGGCACCTTGATCCACAAAAAATGTCTCATATGTATCCTGACTTACAGCCTAAATGTTGGAGATGTGGATGTTTGGATACTACTTATTATCATATCTGGTGGTCGTGTAAAAATATAAAAGCCTTTTGGATTAAGATATGATGGAATATTCAAAGAATTTTTAGAAGGAGGGTAAAATTTACCCCACAATTGTTTTTGTTAGGTATCGTTATTGATTGTGATACTAAGGAGATTACATTGATGTTAAATTTAATTACAGCCGCAAGGTTGTTAGTAGGGCAATGTTGGAAGAAGGAATCTTTGCCTACTTTGCAAGAGTGGTTTCTCAAAGTTTCTTATTTGGCGGAAATGGCAAAGATTTCGGCTTTCTTGAAGGATCAATCGCAAGAGAAGTATGTTGCGGTATGGAAAAAATGGATAGATTTTATACAACATAAGTTGGATATAAAAATATTATTTAGTTTTTTAACAATTTATATTTAAAATGGAATATTTTGTTGTTTTTTTTCTCTTCTTTTTTTGTTCTTCTTTTTTTCTTTTTCTTTTTTTTCTTTCTTTATTCTTTTCCTTTTTAAACATTTATTTTTTGTATTCATGTTTTATATATATATATATTATTGTTAATTATTTTATAATTTTTCTAATTAATGTATTTAGATTTTTAACTAATGTTAGATTCATTTATGGTTTATATCTTTTTTAAGACTTTTTGGTGAAATTTTAATTAAGCCTATATTCAGCTCTGGGAAGGTCGGGGGAGGGAATGGGAGGGTTGGGGAGGTTGGGGGGAAGATTGTTTTGATTTTGTAAAATTTTAAAAATTTAATAAAAATTATCTTTGAAAAAAAAAAGAAAAAAAAAGAAAATTTCTACATTATTCTTACTACTAAACCAAATTATAATAAAATTCTTTTAACATGAGCTTCACAAAGTTTTTATTAAATTTAGGCACATTTTCAATATCTAATCTTTAATCATGGGTGAATTAAACCACAGCAGCAAAGGGCATGTTAAAGAGCATGGAGGTTATTAAGTTAACCTCCTTTTAGAGTTTATTTAGTTACACTGGAAGACCAAGAATAAATTACTGTTCAATTCTCATTAATCCTTTATCTCATTCATTATTTTGAAATAGTGAAAGTTTCACAATTTATTAAAAAGTGTGCAAACAATACAAGTGAGGAGATATATATTGTATAGAAAAGGTTTGGTCATTTAAATATTGTTCCCAGCAATTCTTCTGTAGTACAACTGAGAAATCATAAAAGTTAATCTATGAGGAACATGTCTGCAAGTTCTACTAAAATGAATAGAAAGCACACTAGGAAAAAAAAAAAGTCAAGGTTCCTATGAATTCATGCCTGCATGGGCAAGAACGGCTATGTCCATTTCTATAAGTAGGAAAATCTGGCATCTCTCTGCTACCATATTTTAGATTACAATTCTCATAAATCAAATGACTGATGGTCAGGGATTATGGGAGTTATAAACTAAACATTTGATGGCACTGGATTACATACTGCTATATTAGAATATCTGCAATGCTTTAAGAAGGCAGTGGCCTAACTTTCAACTTTAACTGTAACATAAATTGTAACCAGATGAAAACAACAAAACATTGGATGGTACACAGCAACTTGACCTTACTACAAAATACTTTGGTTTAATTTGGAAAAAGATTAAATAGAGAAATGTTTCATTAGAAGAAAAAAAATCATATCTAATTTAATTATGTTTCCTATGTCATATATTTTCTGTATATCATTTGAATGAAAACTATATCCTCTCTTTTACCCCTTATATTTCCTGTTGCACCTCACTTTTATTAGTGCTTTTCCTTATGCAATTGAAAACCAGTAGCATTCTCTTTTAAGGCAACATCTTAATTACATACAAAATGTTCTTATGAATTTGAGGCAGCTTTCTCCACAGTCTTCCCATTATGGTCTTTCTTCTTAAGCAGTTCATGGCAATAAAAATTTAATGAGTTGCGGAACATCTTGAAACTTCCTTAATTGCAAAAACATCCATCAAGACAGTTGCACTTCATCTGGACATTTTGGACTTAAAGTCATTGCTCTCCATGTCGTCTTCTTGCATATAGACCGAGGCAGGCACAGAATCCAACACAACTAAAAGCCACACCTAGCAACAAAGCTAATGCATCACTCATATCTAAAGCTTCCACTACAGGCAGGCAAAAAAGCAACAAAAAAAATACCAAAAAGAGCTGTGAAGCATTCCTGGTGGTGGCCATGTTCCCAGTCATTACTGATCAGATGACCCTGAAAGAAATATTAAATACATAGAAATGCCCAATCAGATGTATTTAAATACAAAAAGGAAAGCAAAGACATTATGAGGGCTACTAGATACTAGATAAAATTCACTTTGTGTAACATCAGCCTGCATCAGCATAATAGCCTGGCCTAGCCTAGGCCCTTTGGGAAAGGAGTTGAGTGTAGATGAAACATTTTATTGTGGAAGAAACAAAATGGGAGAAAATGGGATCTGTAACCAAATGCTGCTTTATAGCAAGTTCTCACTGATTTCTCCAGAAATGCAGCCAATTTCCCCACTCTATTACCCTATCCTAAATGGTTTTCCCACATTTTTAAAATATGCTGTATTTCATAACCATAAGCAATACTCAACTTCATTTGTAGTTTTTTAAAATGTCTTTTTTGGAGATTTTGTTTTCCGTTCATGGCAACCCTACTGACACCCTGGAAGCTATTGTGCTTTGCTGCTTCTTAAAGTCAGTGGCATAACCTGGAAAACTTAGCTACGAGAACACACATTTTGAGAAGTACTTTCAGCTAGGTCTGTTGCAAAGATGGGTGGTGCAGGTAGTTCTGATCATATAAGCATTCTGCCATCAGAAATAAAGAGAAATTATGAAGTTACTGCAGAGATGGTAAACAGAAGCCCCCTGTATATATTCCTGTGACCTCCTATTTTTGAGCACTCAGTCATATTTGGATACAACTGTTAAAAGTTATTTTGTGGTGGCAAATATCTAAACTCAGGGTGGATACTAATCGATGATTTTTTTAAAAAATAAATAAAAATTGGATTTTTTATTTAAATCGAATGTTTTTATTTAAATCAGATTTTTTTATTTTTATCAAATTTATTTTAATAAAATGCTTTTGGAGTAAAAATCTATCTAAAGATAGTTTTTTATTTAAGATACATTAATAATTTAGTTTATTCAGCATGAAATGGAGCTTAGTTATGTAGTATGAGGCTGTATATTCTGCAATATTTACATTTTTAGTATCCAAGCTCTGCAAGCTGAGATAACATTGATGCATTCACACAATTTCACAGTAACCATGAGATAAATCATAAAACAAAGTTCAGGAATATTCCTTTATCCCATTGTTTTGCAAATCTATGTACACTACAAACTATATGATTGTTTGAAGAGAAATGCATCTTTACCAGGCTCTAAGTGTTTTAATTAAATAAAAGAATTTGACTAGTTCTCCAACTATGTGTGATTAACTTATTAACCTAACATCGTTTCTGGTATCACTGTTTTACTTACTGACAATGTAAGGACCCACCCCACTTTGCATCTTAAGAAGACAGAACTCTTGGAATAATTCTTCCAACAGGAATCCTTTATTAAGAAGAAGTGGTTGCAGGCGTGCTAGACAGGACTTGGGGTCCAAGCTCTCCCATTCAAGGTTTTAAGGGGTTCCACAGCAGTCCCACCCAATCACCCCCCCTTCCAGTGATAGTTTCAGGCATCACAATTCCACCCCTTTGATCCTTTCTTCTGTCTGGATGGAGACTTCAGATAAACTACATGAAAGATAAATAGCCCCTTTGTCATGGTAAGGTTCTTTGGTGCTATTTACATTCAAACTCTTTGAGGTTGCAATAAACACATTCAAATCCTTAGAAGTATACTGAAGGAAGTGAGGGCCATAAAGCCCCTTTGTTCTCCCCCTTCTCTCCCTCTTATGGCAGAATCCAGAGAAGGCAGAATTGGGGTTTTCTATATTTGATGATTAAAGATGAAATATAATTGGATTCTGACAGACAACTTATTATTCTAAATAGGAAACAAAGATTCTAACTACCAGCAAGAATGAGTCCTTACATTTAAAGAGCACCTGTCATTTCAGATCCATCATGGCAGCGCCTGTTAGCGGGCATGCACTCATCTACTGCCTGCCACGTCCCTCACCTTGTTGTGTCACTGCCGCATTTCCAGTCATCCCATTAAAGTGAATGGGACTGTCAGTGAGTCAACAGCGGGTCAGAGGAGGAGCCGCTGTGGGACAGAGATGACAGCTGCTCTTTAAAAATTATGATTTAAATCAAGCCTTTTTACTAGTGATTTAAATCATGATTTAAATCATGATTTTAATTGACTTGATTTAAATCAAATCCACCCTGTCTAAAATTATATGTATTTTAAGTTGTATGATAAGCATGTTCTGTATATTCAAGCCTTCTTGCTATCGCTAAGTTCAAATACAAAAAGCTAATACAAAAGAGTGGATCAGAATATGATGTTAAATGCTCCTTCCCTATCCATGTTCTCACAATTTATATTACCCTTCCTTCCTTCCTTCCTTCCTTCCTTCCTTCCTTCCTTCCTTCCTTCCTTCCTTCCTCCCTCCCTCCCTCCCTCCCTCCCTCCCTCCCTCCCTCCCTTCCAATACAGGACAAGAATGATGATATAATGAATGTGGAAGAGATCATTTTGACCATGAGTCCAAACTAAGTATCCCCAACAGATGGCTGTCCAGCCTCTGCTGGAACACACCCAGTAAAGCAGGGGTGTCAAACTCAATTTCATTGAGGGCCGCATCAGCATTGCGATTGTCCTCGGGGGCCAGATGGGTGCAGCCTACTGGGTGGGTATGGATGGAGTGGGTGTGGCCTACTGGGTGGGCATGGCCAGCTCTACATCGTTCACATCAAGGGTGCCTGTGGGGACCTGGGCAGGAGTGGGACAGATTGAGGGTATCTGGCAGAAGGGGGTGAGACCAGCGCCAAGGCATGGTCCATTTCTTCATTCCTCACAAAGGGTGACACCTCCCCAGCATGCACCCAGGGAGTGGGGCCGACATGGCAAGGGCTGGTTCCTCGCTGTTTCCAGACGGCCTTGTGGAGCTAAGACTGAATGTGTTTCAGCATAGATGGCCACCACAAAATTGTATATTGGCTCCCAGCCGGCCTGGGCCAGGGCCAAGGCAGCGGGGGCCGTTCCCTCACTATTTCCAGGATGGCTTCACGGGCCACATGAAACCACTTCGTGGGCCGCATCCGGCCCCTGAGCCTTGTGTTTGACATGTCTACAGTAAAGGGAAGTCTACCAACTGACTGCATTGTCAATTTGCTTTCACTACTAGGGTGTTTTTTAATAGCCAGAATCTACCTTTCTCAAATTTTAGGACTAAGAATAAGAAATAAATCATAACTTTTCAGTGGACGTAGAGATCTTTATAGTTTAACCATGCATAACACCACTGAAAAAGCAAAAGTGCAGTTATCATACCTGAATCATGAAAGTAAATAAGAAGTAAAATGCTCCCTCTAGTCTTTTCCAAACCAGAATGTGTTATTAGTATAAATACATATTTGTTCAACTAAAATTAAAAAATAGCCTTTGTAAAATGAGAAATTGTTTTGTGCTATTAAAATCTTAGGTATAAGCACTACAAGAAGAGTTTAAGAAATCCATAATTTGATAATTTACCTGGTCAGATATTGAAATGTCTACCAGCAAACAACCAAGTTCAGAGAGAATCAAGGATGCCACAAACTGTCTGAAGATTACTGAAGAGTCTTGTAGAGGGAAGGAAAATATAGCTAGAAGGTCTGTCACTGATATTTTTAGGAAGGAAGGAAGGAAGGAAGGAAGGAAGGAAGGAAGGAAGGAAGGAAGGAAGGAAGGAAGGAAGGAAGGAAGGAAGGGTCTCAGGGAAGTCCTGCTTTAGCACTTGGCCACCAGCAGCCCTGTTGTCCTTTTGCCCTTCCCTGATGGTCTCCCATCCTATTGCTGAGGATGCTTTGGTTACAAAGCCAGGTTTTCTCGCATGGAGACGGAGTGGGCCTCCCTCTGACCCACGCACTTTGTCCTCTTGCACCTACCATGAGCAACCTGGCCAAGGAGAGTGAGCATAGCGGCAGCAGCATAGCGGCAGCAGGATCTAAGTGCAGCTGGGTGCCCCCTCAGGGAAATGCGGCTAGGCTAGGCAGGGCCTGTGGGGTCCTGATGCTGTGGGAGCTCAAGGGCTGGGCTGGGCACTTGACCTCTGCTGCCCAGGGCTCTGGGCAGTCCATACCACTGTCCAGGGGGCCCTGTGCACAGCCTGAGATTCAGTAAGGCTCCTCCAGTGGACCATGCCTTGGCACTCACCCCCTGTCCCACCCACCCTTACCCACCCTTGGATGCGCCTCATTCCCGCATTGGTGCCTGACATGAGTGACATTGAGCTGGCCGTGCCCACCCAGTAGGCCACGCCCATGCCAGCCACACCCACCCGGCCCCCCAATGGCAACCATGATGCGGATGCGGCCCTCAATGAAATTGAGTTTGACCCCCCTGCCCTAGATGATAGGCTCAAGATTCAGATGCATCTAGACAGACTTGAACACTGGGCCCTATCTAAAAAAATGAAATTCAATGTAGAGAAAAGTAATCTTACATTTAGGCAAGAAAAACCAAAAGTATGCATACAGATTAGATGAATCCTGGCTTAATAACAGTAGTTCTTAATGGTACTATGTCTATATGGAAGAAAGGAAGCAGTGAGGTACCATAGGGTTCCATCTTAGGCCAAGTACTCTTCAATATCTTCATAAATGACTTAGACAAGGGAACAGAAGAGAACTCATTAGATCTGCAGATGATACCAAGCTGGTAAGAATAGCCAACACCCTAGATGACAGGCTCAAGATCCAGATGGATCTCGACAGACTTGAACACTGGACCTATCTAAGAAAATGAAATTCAACGTAGAAAAAAGTAAAGTCTTACACTTAGGTAAGAAAAACCAAAAGTACACATACAGATTAGGTGAAATGTGGCTTAACTGCAGTAACTGTGACAGGGATCTTGGAGTCTTAGTAGACAATCAATTAAATATGTGTCAGCAGTGTGCAGTGGCAGCCAAAAAAAGCCAATGCAATCCTAAATTGCATTAACAGAGAGATTGAATCAAAATCACGTGAAGTACTAATACTACTCTATAAAGCCTTAGTAAGTCCACACCTAGAATACTGCATCCAGTTTTGGTCACCACATTATAAAAAAAGATGTTGAGATTCCAGATAGAGTGCAGAGAAGAGCAACAAAGATGATTGGGGGCGGGAGGCTAAAACATATGAAGAACAGTTGCAAGAACTGGGCATGGCTAGTCTAGTGAAGAGAAGGATCAGGAATGACATGATAGCACTGTTCCAATATTTGGCGGCTATCACAAAGAGGAGGGGCTCAACCTATTTTCCAACGCACCCGAAGGCCAGACAAGGAACAATGGATGAAACTGATCAAGGAGAGATTCAACCTAGAAATAAGGAAATTTTTTCTAACAGTGAGAACAATCAACCAATGGAACAGCTTGCCTTCAGAAGTTCTGGGTGCTACATCGCTGGAACCTTTCAAGAGACTGGACAGCCACTTGTCAGAAATGGTAGAGGGTCTCCTGTTTGGACAGGAGGTTGGACTAGATGACCTACAAGATCCCTTCCAACTCTTATTCTATATTCTGTATCAGCTCAATCCACTTCACAGGTGGGATAACCCCAGCTCTTAAGCATTTCTACCATATAAACTGTGCTCAACTTATCTAACAAAGTCCATGATGTGCTTTTGCACACAGTATGAAAGGAAGGATAAACATGCCCCCAAGAGCTCAACTCTTAGTGATTTAATAGATGTATCAATGCATTTTTCTTGGCAATGTTCCAAAGTAGTTTCCTTTGCCCGATGCTATTAAATTTCCTGGTCTAACCTACAGCCTGATTTTTCTTAGTACTTTTCCATCTCTAATACTACCATATTCAATCTACTGATTTGCTGACCCACTTAATAGTAATAGCAGTAAGTCCTTTCTTCAGAAATGTGATATGTGGAAATAGTTACTATCATGGTTCCTATACTTAATAAATAAAAAAATACTTAAACTGGAAAAAATTATCCAGTTTCAGGGCTAGACATTCTGACTTGTCTGAAAATGAAGCAAATAACTTAATGTAAGAATATAACCTAAATACTGACCTTGACATGCATGTTTTAATAAATATCTACATTTATTTACTACAGATTGTGATTCTAAAACACAAATCTGAAAAAAGAAAGCACATGCAAATTACACAACTGGGAACCAAAAATTTTGAAATGGACAGCAAATTGCCAAGTGACATTCAAATACCATGAGTTAAGACATGAATTAACTAATTCCTAAGATCCTTGTGGTGCAGTGGTTAGAATATAGTACTGCAGGCTACTTCTGCTGACTCCCGGCTGCCAGCAGTTTGGCAGTTTGAGTCTCACTGGCTCAAGGTTGACTCAGCCTTCCATCCTTCTGATATCAGTAAAATGAGGACCCAGATTATTGAGGGCAATATGCTGACTCTGTAAACCACTTAGAGAGGGCTGTAAAGCACTGTGAAACGATATATAAGTCTAAGTGCTATTGCTATCATGAGCAAATCTATTTTTACTTAAACATAAAAACATAAAACAGGGAGCCTTTGTACAGACTGTGCAGCTCTAACAAATTATATTCAGGCCATGCAACACATACATTTGATTAAAATTTATCTAGATTAACTTATATGGTCTTACAATGTTGAAATATGAAATCACATGGTACACTAAAAATTAAGAGCATCCTACTCCCCTCTCCATTTTAGCAAAGGGGCAGATTTGTACTGCCATGACCACATTAAAAAAAGCTTGACAATTATGTTGGCACCAGATAGACAATACCATTACTCTTTGCAAGAGTACAAAACATTACAGGATTTAGAGAATAACAAGAGTTGGAAGGAACCTTGGAAGTCTTCTATCCAGGAGACCCATACAATTCCAGACAACTGGCTGTCCAGTCTCCAAGTATTCCCAAGAAGAGTAAAAGAGCAGTTTGCTGTAGGATTAAGATATCAGACTAGAATGTACCGCAAATTCGAGTCCCACCTTAGGCCTGAAGCCAACTGGGTGACCCTGGGCCAGTCATTTTTTGTCAATCCTAGGAAGGACGCAAGGGCTAACCACTCCCAAAACATGTTGCCAAGAAAAATGCACGGCTTGTCCAGGAAGTCCCCAGGAATCAACAATGACTGGAAGGCAGCTTCTGCCTCCCAAATTAACAGAATTTCCGGAAACAAACAACGAAGACATTGAAACACTTCTAAATCTTGCCCAGAATATTAGACAAATCAGCAAAGAAGCCTGTAATATTTTAAAGATTGGCCACATTTATTGATGCGTAAAACTTTAGGCACATAGGATGCCGCTATTCTGGAAAAGTGAAACTCTTGGATAATATGGCAATCCCGAGAAACACCCACTGAAAGCCTCTTACCTGGGGGAATCTGTTTTCTTTCCTTCTTCGGCTAACTTTGAGGTGTTGGAAACCTTCAGGTCGCCCTAGTAAAGAAAGAAGTGAGGGAGAACACGGACCCCAAACCAGACTTGTTCTATTATCCGAAACGAATTAAATCCACAAGAGAGCTATTAATACCAGTGAAGGGCAGATTATGGCACGTCCAGATCAAATGCTTCGAGTCACGTGCAGTAGCGACACTAAGCTACCCCAGTACCTTCCTTGGAAAGTACGTGGCTCAACCGGACCCAGGGTTGCTATCAATGAGGAACGGACCATTTGAATAACAAAGGAGTTATCTGACAGGTCCCGGGAACCAACACCTAAACATTAACCTTCCGTGGCTATGGCGGAAACGGTAAGATTTACCTTCCTGGTAGCGGCCATTACCAGTAGAAAGAAAGGAGGATCTGATTGGCTTGCGCAATCCCAAACCGTCGATGCCTATAACTTCCGTCATGCATTGCGCAAAGTTCTCATTAACCACCGAGTGACTCAAAGAACTAAGTCGTAAGCGTCTTTTGGTGTAGAAGTCGGGTGAAACTCGGGCTTTAATCCAGTGTTTCTCAAATTAAGCAACTTTAAAATGGTTGGAGAATTCTGGAAGTTGAAGTCCACAAAAGCTTTAATCTAAGGCCACCATACCTTTCTGCAGTAATCCGTGCGGTCACCAATGAGTGGCAAAAAGATATAGAATAAAGGGAAATAATCCTGTCCCAGCATAATATTGCATGACCCAGTCTGAGTGGATCACCGGGAGCAGAGGTTTAGTCTTCCAAGATTTCGGACTCGTGCTCTAGTTCATCTTCAGGAACCTTCTGAGAAGAGAAGTTTCCTGAGGATGGGATCCAGCACAAGTCAGAAAGCTTGGAAGAATAAGCCTCTGGTCCTGGTGGCTGACTAAGATTGGATTCTGCAAGATAGAGAATACTCTACCTTTTCCCACTCCTCAAACGCTAGCAAAAACCAGCCTTCTCAAAGGCTCAGAATGCAAATGAGACTTTATATGTTCAAAAATAAGAAAAAATAAAACACTGAAGTGTCTTTTCCTTTTTTTTATTATTGAGAATTTTAAAAAGTTTTTACAAATAACAAAAAAAGAACAATAAAAAACAAAAAAAAAACAAACAAAAAACAAACAAAAAACCAAAACAAAACAACTCTCACCCAACCCCTCCCAAACCACCCCTCCATTCCCCCCCCCCCCCCGAGCTTCCCAGAGCTGAATATAGGCTTAATTAAAATTTTAAGAAACCTAAACAAGTTTTAACAACTTATAAAATAATTAATAATAAAATATATGTGACATAAACATTAAAAAGAAAAAATACTTAAAAACGAAAAAAGAAAAGAAGAAAGAAAGAAAGAGGAAAAAAAATAGGAAAAAGAAAAAAAGAGAAAACAATCCATAAAATATCAAAAATTATATACAAGTTATAAAAAAGCTAAATGATATTTTTTATATCCAATTTATGTTGTATAAAATTTATCCATTTTTCCCATACAACAAAAAATTTCTCTTGCGATTGCTCCTTTAAAAAAGCCGAAATCTTTGCCAATTCCGCCAGATAGGAAACTTTAAAAAACCACTCTTGCAAGATAGGCAAAGATTCCTTCTTCCAATATTGCCCTACTAACAGCCTTGCGGCTGTAATCAAATTTAACATCAATATAACCTCCTTAGCATCACAATCAGTAACAATACCTAGCAAAAATAATTGCGGAGTAAATTTTACCCTCCTTCTAAAAATTCTTTGAATATTCCACCATATCTTAATCCAAAAAGCTTTTATATTTTTGCACGACCACCAAATATGATAATAGGTGGCGTCCAAACAACCACATCTCCAATATTTAGGCTGTAAATCAGGGTACATAAGAGACATTTTTTGTGGATCAAGGTGCCATCTATAAAACATTTTATAAAAATTCTCCCTTAAGTTCTGGGCTTGTGTAAATTTAACATTCCTCACCCAGATAATTTCCCAGGTATCCAGTGGGATTGGTTCACCAAAATTTTGTGCCCATTTAATCATACAATCTTTGATTAATTCAGATTCTGAATCCAATTCCACTAGAACCCCGTAAATCCTCTTAATGTGAGTTTGTCTTTGATCCTTTACTTGTTTAAAAAGATTTTCATCTTCTCTAAGCCAGCCCATATTACAATCCATCTTCCATCTGTCCACTAATTGTCTATATTGAAACCATGAATAGGTAATATTTTCATGTACTAAATCTTCCAATGACCATCAGGTATACTACTGTGGGCAAGAATCCCTCAGAAGAAATGGAGTAGCCTTCATAGTCAATAAAAGAATAGGAAAAGCAATACTGGGATACAATCCTCAAAATGACAGAATGATCTCTATTCGAATCCAAGGCAAACCATTCAATATCACAGTAGTCCAAATCTATGCCCCAACCACTGGTGCTGAAGAGGATGAAATTGACCGGTTCTATGAAGCCCTACAGCACCTTATAGAATTAACACCAAAAAATGATGTCCTTATCATCATGGGGGATTGGAATGCTAAGGTAGGAAGCCAAAAGATAACCGGAATAACAGGCAAGTTTGGCCTTGGAGTACAAAATGAAGCAGGGCACAGGCTAATAGAATTTTGTCAAGAGAATACGATGGTCATAACAAACACTCTTTTCCAACAACCCAAGAGACGGCTCTACACATGGACATCACCAGACGGTCAACATAGAAATCAGATTGACTATGTGCTCTGCAGCCAAAGATGGAGAAGCTCTATACAGTCAGTAAAAACAAGACCAGGAGCTGACTGTGGCTCAGATCATGAGCTTCTTGTTGCAAAATTTAGGCTTAAATTGAAAAAAATAGGGAAAAGCACTAGGCCACTCAGGTATGAACTAAATCATACTCCTGATGAATATACAGTAGAGGTGACAAATAGATTTAAGGAACTGGATCTGATAGACAGAGTGCCTGAAGAACTATGGATGGAAGTTCGCAACATTGTACAAGAGGTAGCAACTAAAACCATCCCAAAGAAAAAGAAATGCAAGAAAGCAAAATGGCTGTCTGAGGAAGCTTTGCAAATAGCTGAGGAAAGAAGGGAAGCGAAAGGCAAAGGAGAAAGAGAAAGATACACCCAATTGAATGCAGAATTCCAGAGAGTAGCTAGAAGAGATAAGAATGCCTTCTTAAATGAACAGTGCAAAGAAATAGAAGAAAACAACAGAATAGGGAGGACCAGAGATCTCTTCAAGAAAATTGGAGATATGAAGGGAACGTTTCATGCAAAGATGGGCATGATAAAGGACCAAAATGGCAGAGACCTAACAGAGGCAGAAGAGATTAAGAAGAGATGGCAAAACTACACAGAAGAACTATACAAGAATGAGCTTAACATCCCAGATAACCACAATGAGATGGTCATTGACCTCGAACCAGACATCCTAGAATGTGAAGTGAAATGGGCCTTAAAAAATCTGAGCAACAACAAAGCTAGTGGAGGTGACAGTATTCCAGCTGAGCTATTCAAAATCTTAAAAGATGATGCAGTAAAAGTGCTACATTCAATTTGTCAGCAAATTTGGAAAACTCAACAGTGGCCACAGGATTGGAAAAGGTCAGTTTACATTCCAATTCCAAAGAAAGGCAATGCCAAAGAATGTTCAAACTATCGCACCATTGCACTCATTTCACATGCTAGTAAAGTTATGCTTAAAATCCTACAAGCTAGACTCCAAGCTAGATGTGGATCGAGAACTACCAGAAGTACAGGCAGGATTTCGAAGAGGCAGAGGAACTGGAGATCAAATTGCCAACATACGCTGGATCATGGAGAAAGCTAGGGAGTTCCAGAAAAACATCTACTTCTGCTTCATTGACTATGCAAAAGCCTTTGATTGTGTGGATCACAACCAATTGTGGCAAGTCCTTAAAGAGATGGGAGTACCAGACCATCTCATTTGTCTCTTGAGAAACCTATATGTGGGTCAAGAAGCAACAGTGAGAACCGAACACGGAACCACTGATTTGTTCAAAATTGGAAAAGGAGTCCGGCAAGGCTGTATACTGTCGCCCTGCCTATTTAACTTATATGCAGAGCACATCATGATAAAGGCAGGGCTAGATGAATCAAAAGTTGGAATTAAGATTGCCGGGAGAAATATCAACAACCTAAGATATGCAGATGATACCACTCTGATGGCAGAAAGTGAAGAGGAACTAAAGAGCCTCTTGATGCGGGTGAAGAAGGAGAGTGCAAAAGTTGGCTTGAAACTCAACAGTAAGAAAACCAAAATCATGGCATCCGGCCCTCTCAATTCCTGGCAAATAGATGGGGAAGAAATGGAGGTAGTGACAGATTTTATTTTTCTTGGCTCCAAGATCACCTCAGATGGGGACTGCAGCCAAGAAATTAAAAGACGCTTGCTCCTGGGGAGGAAAGCTATGGCAAATCTAGACAGCATACTAAAAAGCAGAGACATCACCCTGCCAACAAAAGTGCGTATAGTCCAGGCCATGGCTTTCCCAGTTGCATGTATGGCTGTGAAATTTGGACCATAAGAAAGGCTGAGCGCCAAAGAATTGAGGCCTTTGAACTATGGTGCTGGAGAAGACTCCTGCGAGTCCCTTGGACTGCAAGGCGTTCAAACCGGTCAGTCCTAGAAGAGATCAACCCCGACTGCTCTTTAGAAGGCCAGATCCTGAAGTTGAAACTCAAGTACTTTGGCCACCTAATGAGAAGGAATGATTCACTGGAGAAGAGCCTAATGCTGGGAAAGATTGAGGGCAATAGAAGAAGGGGACGACAGAGAATGAGATGGATGGATGGAGTCACTGAAGCAGTAGGTGTGAATTTAAATGGACTCCAGAAGATGGTAGAGGACAGGAAGACCTGGAGGAACGTTGTCCATGGGGTCGCGATGGGTCGGACACGACTTCGCAATTAACAACAACAACAAAAATCTTCCAAAGATTTTAACTGCCAATTTTGACCATCCCATCTAAGTAATTGTGTATAAGAAACCCTATCCATTTTAACTCCTCTCCTTATCCCCTCTATCGCATGCCAAGGTATAGCCCATAAAGGTATTTTAAAATCAATCTTATAATACTTCCTCCAAACCCGAAGTAAAGAGATCCTTATAATATGTGATTTAAAAACTCGATCCACTTTTTTATTAAAAATTAAGTAGGCATGCCATCCAAAAAGTAAATCCCAACCCTCCAAATGGAGTATTTCTACATTTGTTAAGTTTACCCAATCACTAATCAATGTTAAGGCCACAGCATCATAATATAATTTCAAATTCGGCACCTTGAGTCCACCCCTCTCACGAAAATATTGCATAATTTTAAGCTTTACCCTTGGTTTTTTCCCTGCCCAAATAAATTTATTAATGCCTTTCTGCCATTCATTTAAGTTAAGCTCATTCTTTAAAATAGGTAGCATTTGAAACAAAAAAAGA